AATAAGGATGCATCCTCTGTTAATAGAGCAAGGGAGGCATTTAAATTTATTACAAATGTCTATCTTTATAATACAGTCATCTGATCAATTAAACCTATGAATACGGCCAGTACAATTTTGTAACAAATACATTAAACGAAATCAAATAAAGAAAAAAAAGAGCACAGAATGTCACAAACAGCGATCCTCTCCCCATTTTGACCCACCATCTCCTATTGAAACCTGAGCATACATTCTTTCCGTCTGCCCAGTATCTTCTCCTATTAAAGATGGATCGGCGAAGGGTTGAGCCATAAATCTCAACAAAAATAGGATATTGCAGCAATATAAACGAAGTGACAGGAACAGCGGCGCCAAGAAATATTATTGACATGGATGACTCCATTTCCTTTTGTAGCATCATGTAAAGAGTAGCACAAAATGCTACCATCATTGCTGCAATAGAAATGAAGAGCAAAGAAAGGCCACAAATCAACTTAAAGGGTAACGAATTATGGAAATCTTGACAAGCATAACGAGCAGTGAGAATCCCCATAAACATTAGCACTGAGCTGGATGCAGCGAAAAGAGAAATTGCATCTGATACTAAAAATACCATGCATGCTTGGGCAGACGCTGTTTTAGCATCGGATTTTTTTAACAATTTCGGGCGGCCTGTTTTGTCATCGTTTCCACCAGGAATGGTAAAAAGCGCAGCAAACATAATTGTGATAACGAGAGCACCTACGACGTTACAAGATTGTGCCATTTTTTTCATCCATCCTTCGGCTTCTTTTACCAAATTCTTGTGCTCTTTATGAAATACTTGGGTAGGAGTTTCACCATCTTTATTTTTCTGTTTGTTGAGCTGTGGAGCAATGCTTTCCACTGACTGCATTTGTTTCGTAAATTATAGATGGTAATTGAGACACTATTAGTTAATTTGAGACAACAAACTTACTTAAAAATGAGATTACCTTGAACCAGTGTAGTTCATTTTGCAACTGGAAAACTGCACCGGAGTAGTGGTCTAGTTGAGAATGAGGAGCTAATCGTGCAGCTATATGTAATAAATTGTTCTGATCTTGATCGGTGGCAGTAACCATATTTGTATCCTTGCTTTCACCAAATGCATCATAAAGAAAGCGCGCGACTTTCTCTTGACGATGTGCTACAGCATGTGCAAACATGTTTCTTGAATCTTCGGGATCTGGATTGCTCCATAATATACTAGGATTTGGTCTTTTTAACAATTCAATTACAATCTCAGGGATGTCATTCTCGATGGCCAGATAGGTTGCTTCCACTGCTCCACTTTGCACAAATTGGTTCTCATCTAAATTTGATAATGACTTACATATGAAACGAATAACCTCATGGGCATACTCGTCCATCAACTTCAACTCATATTTTTGAAATACTGACAAAACCAAAAAAAAAAAAAAAATCCTTATGTTTGCTTTATTTTTACGAAGAATAATCAAGATATAGCACAAAAATGAAGGAAAAAAAATTTAGAGAGGGAAAGAAACGTTCATTGTCCACGTTGTTGCTTACCAAAGATCAGCAGAGGCATTGAAAACAGTAAAAACAGCGAAAAGAAGATAACTGTAATAAGACCAAAAAAAAAAAAATGAGTACTGCAATTATATTCGAAATTTAGAAAAATGAGTTCCCTAATTGCAATAATTTACTGCCCAAAAATATTACCTTTAACTAAAAAGGTTAAAACCCTAAAATCAAAAAAATAAAAAAATTAAATAAGTATTTAGATTAACTATTTAAATATAATTAAAATGGTTAAATTTAATTTTTCATCTACTAACTATTTCTCCCGTATCATTTTAATTTAAAAAGTTTAGTTTCTTTTAAATTCATTTATAAATTTTGTAAATCATTTTAGATTTATCTATCTAATAAACTTTTGTTATTTTTTTAATGAAATCCCAAGGCATGCTTATCTGGCACTAGTTATGTGGCATATGCAGTTTCGAAAAATTGTACTTCTTCCTTTTTCTTTTTTTTTTTCATCTTAACAATATTTTCACTCTTTTAGTGAGATTTTTTCTTTATTTTTTATTTTTTATTTTGTAATAAATCTATATGTTTTAAATTTAATTAACAACTAAAAAAGTCATCACTGTTATTATTAAGATAAAACTATATTATTTTTTTGGATAATGATGTGTGCACACCCGGATCCCACACCTGGGTGTGCACACACAATATAGACAAAAAAAAATGCCCATCATCCGGTTCAACTTTTTTTTTTTATGTGGGGGGTGCACACCCGGGTGTGGACCAATCAGTGTCCTATTTTTTTATTTAGTTCAAAAAATTAATTTTTAACTATACTTTTAAAAAAAATAACTTTTACTTTTTATTTTTTAAAAATTAAAAATTAAAGGATAGTTTATGCTTATCTATATTACTCTTAAAAATAGATAAAAGATAAAGAGAGAGATTTTTTGTGATGGGATGATTAATTAAAGTAAATAGATAATAATAAGATTAAAGAAAAAATATATTTGTTTGCCTTAAAAATAAAAAAATATTAATTAATTTGAGATAAGTTCAAAATCATAAAACGATAATTATTCTGAGACGAATGAAGTAAAATTAGAATGTACTCTCTATGTCATTGAAGAATAGATATTTTTTAATTTAAAATTTGTCTTAAAATAATAGTATTTTTTTTTTCATATTTTAAAGGAGATAACTTTTTTTTTTCTAGTTTAATTTTATGATTATATCTTAATTTTAATAATCTTTCCTATCATGAAAGGGTAATGATAGGGAGGACAAAAATTTGTGGACTAATAATATGACATAAATTATATCATTAAATTAGTTGATGCACATAAATTATATCATTAAATTAGTTGATGCATACAATATCATAGGTATTAAAAAAATCATTAAATAATATAGAGACTACAGTCTAATATTTCAAATGACATGGTATAAGTCACATAATTAAATTAATTGATACATATAATATCATAGATTCTAAAAAAAAAAATTAATCAGTAAATAATATAAGATCTATTTTTTAATATTTCAAATGACGTGGCATAAGTCATGTCATTGGTCTTAGATTTTGGTTTTGAATTTTAGTCTCAATTGTCATTATTCTTAAAAAGGTTCTTTATTTTTATTTCTTTTTTTAGGATAAAATATTTAATAATAGAAATTGTTTCTAAATCCTTTATTTAAAGATAAATTGAAAAATGTTTATTATTTTAATAAAGAGAAAATACATTTTTAAAATTTTTACATGTAAAAGATTTTTTTAATTTTAATTTGATAAAAATAATATTATAATCTTAAATAATTAACAAATTAAGCTAACAATCTTAATTGTTTATCATTAGTTTTTGTTTATTATAATTTAGTCCATTTAAGGACTTAGTTGACTAAATTGCATTGTGGAGTGGCTTGAATATAAAACTTAATTGAAAATTTTGTAAAATTTTTGGAGTTAAAGTATAGTTTTTGGAAAATTGCATATGCCTCGTAAGTGCTAACTAGTGCCACATAAGCATTGACATGGGATTACCTAATTAAAACTGATAACTGATTAGGAAATTCCAAACCAAACACCCCATTACCCCTTCGTCCCTAAGGAGCTCCTTCTTAATACCTTAACTGAT